GATCGCCTACCGTGCACCCCCGTACACCCGTCGCTGCCCGCGTGCTGGCCACCCGCCCTCGCGCATCACCGCCTGATGCGCGCCTCTCGCCCGTTCGACCGTCGGTCACCCTCGACCACTCTTCGGCCTCGACAACCACTTCCGTATCATTCCCCTTCTCTTCAAGACATTCTTTGTCCTCAAGGATGAGAAAGTTTAGCACGTCCACATCACTATCTTCTTCTTCAACCGGGAATTCACCTTGATCCTCAGTTCTCAACTTAATGCGTTTTCCTGGTCGTCCAAACTCCATCTTTCCTCGCTTGTAGTCAGTCGTGATGGGTCCAAGCGTTTCCAGCCACTGTACTCCTAGCACAATATCTGTTTCCTTAAGCGGTAAGGCGTAAAGATCAATCTCCAGCTCGTGATCCTGTGCCATTATCGGGACCTTCTTGAATAATTGACTTCCCTGCAGCTCATGTCCATTGGCCACCTTGACACCAAACTTCTTGACTTTTGTGGGTACTAACTTCAGTTTTTGGGCTATCCTTGTGTCGATAAAATTTAAACTCGACCCACTGTCCATCAGGACCTCTAACAACATATCCTTTATCTCAGCTGTGAATCTGATCATCCTAGGACCATGCTTGTTGCACTTTACCATATGCAACCGGGACTATTCCTGCGGCTTTTCTTCCTCTCGTTCCTTCTCAATTTCTAATACAAAAATTTCCTTACCCTTGCACTTGTGGCCTGGCGCAAATTTCTCGTTGCAAGTAAAGCACAAGCCTTTTTCTCTTCGCCTTTGTATCTCATCCTCCGTCAGCCGTCGGTAGTTGCTAGTGGTGCGTGTACCATCGCCGACTGTTAGCTTGACCTCGGCCCGTGGGGGCGTATCGTCGACCACGACGCTCGCGCGCCGAACGTCCGTGCGCCCCTTGCTCGGTCTGGCCCTGCGCATTGCCGCGAGATGATCCTCGTGCAGTCGCGCTGCTTCCATGGCAGCCCTTGTTGACCTTGGCCTGTCCAATCGTACCTTCGCAGCCAACTCAGCCTTTAAGCCTCCTACGAACGCACCTACTAGTGCCTTTTCAGGCCAATCCCCAACCCGGCTTGCTATCCTCTCAAACTCCTTTTGATAGTCACGTAAACTACCGGTTTGGCGGATCCTTGTCAGCGCCTCATCATAATCAAAGTATTCGCTAGATCCAAACCTGGCAATCAGCTCCTTCTCAAAATCTCGCCATCTGATTTGCTCGCCTTTATTTTTATAAACATGTGACTCCCATTGCCACCATGTGTTGGCCACCCCATCCAAGTAGTAGGCAGCAATTTGAACTCTTTCAGATTTGTGTACCTCATTGATCTCGAAAAATTGCACGGCACGACTTAACCATGCATCTGGATCTACTCCTTCAAACGTTGGCATCGTTATCTTCGGTTTCGCACGTACGTGCTCCTCGCGATGATGCCGATGGCCATGCGTCTTGCGATCGCCGTGGTGTCGGGTAGTGCGCGTCGCGCGCGTTCCCCGCGACTGTTGGTCGTCGTCATCGCGACTAGACGTCGAACTGCCCGTTCCCGCCATGGTTGATCTCGATGTGCGGCTCCTCCGCGTATGGTGGTTGACTCTCTCGAGCTGTCCCGTCAAGTCGTGTATCATCAGCTCCAACTTTGCCATGTTTTCATTGACCACGTGTTGTCCGTTGCCAAGGGACCTCACGCTTTCCTCAAGTGCATTGAATCTCTCACGATTCGTCATGACTCTTTTTTTTTTTTAAGACTCTAAAAAATAATTCGAACAAAGTCGAACCCAAAAGAAAAGAAAACCAAAAGAAATTCGGCCCCTCAACAAAAGGTAATAACCGAAAAAAATCAAACAAAAGGACTAGATGACACTTTTTTTTTAATACTCTCGAAATTTTTCGAAAATTAGGGGATAAAATTCGAAAAAATCCGAACACAAAGACTCAAAAAAATCGAACAAAAATAAAAAGAATGGGATAGGAAAAGTTCACGAACACCCAATCGATCACTCTCAATGAAAGCACCAATGATGACGGATCGGGTGTTGCGTTCCCTCGACTTGTCTCGATCACGGCTTCGCCACGGCCTTGCTCTCGAAGATAGGTGTGATGGACTCGGTTATTAGCCTAACTCTCTCACGATACTTGAGTTCACTCGGGTATTTGCCTCATTACACTCTCGAAATAGATCGGGTCTTAGCCTCTCTAAATCGTTGAACTGGCTTGGGTCTTAGCCTCACCAATTCGGTTGCATGATCTCATTCTCACGAACCCTAACACACGGTTTGAACAAACGTTCCTTTTCTATTTCATCAATTCTGGTCCTCCTCAAAACAATGAGGGATGCTCCCTATTTATAGATCCTAACTATGACTAATTCTAATCTACCTAGGAAACATATTAAAGCAATAAAATATTAAATTCCTAAACATTCTAGATACTATTGTGCAAGAAGGAAACTAAATATCTAGAGTCCTAAATTGACTAGATCTTGATCTTGCTTGGCTTGCACTCCAAACAATTCCAATCATGCGCCCCTAAGTACTCGGCCGCCTCACTT